TAACAGTTACGGGTCAGTGATTGTGCAGGGTGAATTTGTTACCCCTGCTTTGGTTGTGACATAAGTTCACCCAGCACTCCAATCAGGGCCAAGAAGAGCAATCTCATGACCACCGGTGAACATATAGTTCACAAGACAAACTAAGTGAACTATATTCATACCATTTGTTACAAATTGAATTTTAATTGAGTGAACTATGCCAATGACAAGTATTATAAAGTATGGAGATTTCCTTGTTTCTCCATTGCACTATGGCAAACGTTTAAGTAAACACTCGTTTCATTCCCAATGGACGTGGCAGTCAGTACCTGGTCTACAGGGGCTGTAAGTTTAGTATCAAGAACAGGAGGGTGGAAAGTGATCATGGCCGCGAAATGTGGAACCATTTCAGAATGGAAGGTCCTAGGACAACAAATCATGTAGAAGGGTGGCATCGTAAAGTGAGTGATGTGTTTGCCGAAAGTCACTCCAACTTTTTTAAGAAGGAGCAAGCCTGGGTAGAGGCATACGTTCTACAGCAAAGAAACGGTGCCAGACGTCCACCTAGGAAGAGAAAATATACACCTGGAACTTAATTAAGCACCCCCTGATATATTTCATGATAGTAGAGCAACTGTTAACCATCGTTAAACATGAATAGTATCTCTGTATTACAACACATCTCTAGTAGTCTAAAAAGGTGTTTCAGTTCCTTTGCACTCGTCACAACGCATCCCTTGTGCACGTGAAGCATACAACCCACACTTTTCCCAAAATTCAGTTTCTCTGATATGCAATTTATGGGTATAAAAGCAGACAAATTTGTAACTGTCTCCATTAATAAATACTGAAATGGCGAGATGACTTTCTGAAGCACTCAGGTGGCAAATTGTAGGCATATATGCAACAGGCATGTCCTTCAAAGCTATTGGACGACAACTGGGCTTGAGTCACTCGGTCATCAGCCGACTTGTCCGAAACATCAGATGACAGGAGATGTGAGAGATCGTTCAAGGCCTGGACAACCCAGGAAGACAACGGCCCGTGATGATCGCAGCCTGGCACGTCTGGTAATGCGAGAACCCTTTGCCACAAGTTCGGGTTTGAAGCGCCTGTGGTTACCCTACAGACAATTATCCACCAGAACCGTCAGAAATCGCCTTAGGGCACTTGGTATGAGGTTCAGAAGAGTCATCAAACGTCCTGCTCTGTCTGATCTCCTTAAGAGACGACGTCTGGAGTGGTGTATGGCCCGTCGGCAGTGGAACCTGAGGACATGGAGGAGGGTCCACTGGTCAGATGAGAGCAGGTTCCTTCTCCATGTTACAGATGGTCGAATGGGAGTGTGGGGCATAAAAACACTGCTTACGTGCCCAGGAATATCCACCCTACTGTTCCTCATGGTGGAGGATCGGTTATGATCTGGGTTTGTCTTTCACACTACTGTAAACTTCAAATGGTGACTGTCCGAGGACATCTTAATGGTCAGCAGTACATCCGGGATATTCTCCATCCAGTTGTCGTGCCTCACTTTGACAACCATCCGTTGGCTACTCACCCGATATTCATGGACGACACCGCCAGGCCGCATCGTTCACGTGCTGTGACCGCACATCTCCAGAATGAGGCTATCATGGCATTACCTTGGCCAGCAATGAGCCTCGATTTGAATCCTTTGGAGCACATCTGGGACTTTCTTGGACGCCGTGTGAGGTTGAGAGAACCCTCTCTCAGAATCTTGCACAGCTGGAAGCTGCTTTGCATGAAGAATGGCGGCAATTGCCACTTGATCGTATCAGAAGGTTTACCAGTAGCATGAGGAGAAGGATTCAAGCTGTCATCCAAGCACGTGGGGGATACACCCGATACTGATGCCAGACGCATCAGATGTTAGCATGTGACATTCCTTGTGCATCATTTCTTGTAATAGTCAGCCATTGACAATGCTACGACCATACTTGTTCAGTGACTATTTTCATCAAAAATCAATAGTGACCAAATCACATTGGTTACGCTATTAAAACAACACGAATTGGAATCATTGTCTTGTTTTTCATTTGCCAATAGATCGTATGTTTCACAATAGCTAAGGTTCCACTATCTTTGCAATAGTGAGAAAGTTACAGCAAGTTTTGTTTCTCATCATCCAGAAAATAGGGGGTGCTTAATTAAGTTCCAGGTGTATATGTTGAACTGAACCATGCCTTGGAAATGTACAAGAGCGAACTAACAACTGGTGCTAGAACTGTCATGTCATACATTGACTCAGTATCACATTTAACTGGATATTAAGTGTGAAAGCTGTGCTGTGAAATATAGATGTAATATGTGATATGATGTTGATGTTGTATTAAGTTGTAAAAATGGATAACTTGTATAACTGGATAACTTGTGTATATAATTAATAAATATAGCCAAACATTGAGTCAAAAGTAGTAGTATTTTATCTCATTTGGTCCCGGATACTATTTCACAGGGAACAAAATAAGGGATTAAAGGGGATTATCACACCCAGTGATTTCTTATACTGAAACAATAGGAGTTGGGTAAGTGGGAAGACCCCGAAATAATTACAAATTTGGTCGCCATCCTAACGCTAATCCCCCGGTAAGCCCTTACATAAACATTACTGTAACAACACTAAACATCGAAGGGTACCGTGTTTCGCCTTCGTGCGAAAAGCTAAAACTAAAAAGTCGCCTTCCTGCGAATGAACCAATGTGAGACATGGTTAGAAGGCAGATCCGCGCTTCCCTTGCATCAACCTGAAACGTTGTCACACCAGGGATAATCTACAGCTACGTCTTCTATTCTCCCTGTCACACTGCACTCCAACCCAATACTTCAGAAGTTGGGATCAAAAAGTAGTGCTTTGTTTTCGAGAAAGTTTGTCTAAAGACACGTAAAGTGTTCTTCGTACATTATAGCAGTGACCTGTTTGAGTGGTGCGTCAATATCAGTGTGCCCTTATACCCTGCTATGAAACTCAGCTGTAGGGATTATTGTCAGTGTGTTTCGTAATGGCCATGCTATGATGAACGTACAGGGGTGAGCATTTGCGAGGACGCATGAGGCATTCGTCCCCACTCGCCGTAAACTGCAAGAACTTGACCTGGGTTAGGAATGGTACATGGGGCTACCAAATCAATATGATTTGACTTGAGACTTAATGTCCTACTCTCTGTACTGTTTTCATCAACACGAGGGTTACAGATCGCTTAAGTATATTTCTCTTAAATCTATAAAACAAATAGGATTCACTACCAATGAATATTGAAACTTGAATTTGTAATCACAGTTATAATTATAGTATTGTTTTATCAAACCAGGATATCAGTTTGTATATGTACTACGTTCAGTACACTTTGAAATAATTATCTCTCATAATGAATATATATACTACATTACACAGAATATTGCAGGCAAAGGCATGCCACTTACTTACCCCCAACTCCACCCCACACATTCTCTCTCTCACACATGTACACACACACCTGGCAAAGCTTATCTACACGCTCCATTTCTCTATATATACAGAAGTTCTTCATACAGCTTCTTTAAGAATCAAAGTAAATTATCACAAGGTTTGAACACCATATCAGCTTTTCATGTTGAAATAAAAGAAAAATGAAATAATCATGATAATGCCTCAAGATTCATTAGTTGTATTTTATCCCACAAGTTGACAGTGAAACAAAGTTCTTTATTCAAATGATGGCATGAAAAGATTAATATATATGTATACGTGTACTGACAACTATCACAGCGATACACATACTCCAGCTATGACAGGGATGATCAATCAACTTCACTAAGGGTAAACACTGTCAGTATGTTAGATATGTGGACTGAGTGTGCACCTCATATGATCAATGTCATTTTGACAGGAACACTGAAGAACAAGCATCATGAGGGGGTGACATGTCCCCCAAGATCATAATGCCGTTCAGTGTTTTTCAACATCTCCAATCCTCAAAAGGCACCTCCTACCTACTAGACTGATCGGTATAGAAAGTTTCATCCAGAAATACTAAACAGTTTTTGAGTTATGCTCCAGAAACAAGGACTACATTTATTTTCAGTATGATCTAACTGACGGTCACAAAAACGACAACAAAAATTATAATAATAATCCAAAATCGTCAAAAGGCACCAGTTGACCACTAGACTGATCTGGATAGCAAGTTTCAACAATAAATATTAAATGGTTTAGTAGTTTTGTTCGAAAACATAAACAGACCTGTGTATAAACAGCCAACAGCTATGTTCCCACAGTTTTTAAGGCAGGGGCAATCCTGCAAATGTTCATATGTGGGACATCATTTACATATGAGTCAAGAACGTCTTAGCAAATGGCCTCACTGGCCCATGCTGTGGGTGATAAACTTGGTCATTGTCAGTTACATGGAGTTTCATCTCACTGGACCTTGTGTCACCATGTGGCCTCACTGGCCCATGCTGTGGGTGATAAACTTGGTCATTGTCAGTTACATGGAGTTTCATCTCACTGGACCTTGTGTCACCATGTGGCCTCACTGGCCCATGCTGAGAGTGATGAAACTAGGTCATTGTCAGTTACATGGAGTTTCATCTCACTGGACCTTGTGTCACCATGTGGCCTCACTGGCCCATGCTGAGAGTGATGAAACTAGGTCATTGTCAGTTACATGGAGTTTCATCTCACTGGACATTGTGTCACCATGTGGCCTCACTGGCCCATGCTGAGGGGCTTATGAAACTTGGTCATTGTCAGTTACATGGAGTTTCATCTCACTGGACCTTGTGTCACCATGTGGCCTCACTGGCCCATGCTGAGAGTGATGAAACTAGGTCATTGTCAGTTACATGGAGTTTCATCTCACTGGACCTTGTGTCACCATGTGGCCTCACTGGCCCATGCTGAGGGTGATGAAACTTGGTCATTGTCAGTTACATGGAGTTTCATCTCACTGGACCTTGTGTCACCATGTGGCTTCTACAGAGTATATATATTCTGTGAAAAACATTCTAAACTAGTGATCTCTCAGTTGAAGCAAACAATTTATTTACCATCTGGCTATATCTCACAGGAGGTTAATGGATGTACAGATCTACAGCCAAGGAACTGACAGAGACACAAACTGCAAGAGGCTTTCCATGGCCTCTTGGTACTGACGCACATGTCATATGTTCTACAATCAGTCAATGGTTTTCATGGTTTAACTTCAAACATGTGAAACCAACAAGCACTGAACAGGCTGATAACATACATAATGTAGGTTGCAATAAATATCATACACTTGTGTTAACAATATGGTATAGAACGTATCAAACACAGACTCAAATATCACCATTCACTGTATTGCATGTCGCCCTATATGTTCCTACAGCAACAGCACTCAACTACTGATAAGTAAACATAATACTCACAAAGTCTCATAAACATATCTATATTTCATCCATACAGCTTCAAGTAGTGCAAAATCATTAACACCCCTAGAGTTACCTCCTTCAATTAATACCTAAACTTTTCACGTGTCGTATTGTGGAACATACCTCCATGAAATCTGAAACCTTGAAAGTAAAACACTGATATCCACAGGCAGACCTCTCAAGAAGTTGTCAAAGTAATTTTCATTATGTGAGGAAATCATCACATGGACACATGATTGCTGAATGTGTTGAATAACATGTCCGCCTGTAAACATATCTGCTACATCAGTGACATGTTGTTGTGTTAATGTACTGCTGCTAGACATCAACTGTGATGTACACGTATCTATTTATTGGCAAACTGGGAGGACACCCAGGCCAGCCCCCACTTGAGGTTGGTCAGCATAAACTTGAGAGCCTTTGTCCACTGCTCCTCGGAGTTGAACTGTATCCTGCAAACAGACATGAAGCATGTACAGCTTGTACTGAGCTCATTCAGCTGATTGTACATACCATCCACTGCCATCACCATGTTCCCCTGACATGTCACATATACACTTGTACTGAGCTCATTCAGCTGATTGTACATACCATCCACTGCCATCACCATGTTCCCCTGACATGTCACATATACACTTGTACTGAGCTCATTCAGCTGATTGTACATACCATCCACTGCCATCACCATGTTCCCCTGACATGTCACATATACACTTGTACTGAGCTCATTCAGCTGATTGTACATACCATCCACTGCCATCACCATGTTCCCCTGACATGTCACATATACACTTGTACTGAGCTCATTCAGCTGATTGTACATACCATCCACTGCCATCACCATGTTCCCCTGACATGTCACATATACACTTGTACTGAGCTCATTCAGCTGATTGTACATACCATCCACTGCCATCACCATGTTCCCCTGACATGTCACATATACACTTGTACTGAGCTCATTCAGCTGATTGTACATACCATCCACTGCCATCACCATGTTCCCCTGACATGTCACATATACACTTGTACTGAGCTCATTCAGCTGATTGTACATACCATCCACTGCCATCACCATGTTCCCCTGACATGTCACATATACACTTGTACTGAGCTCATTCAGCTGATTGTACATACCATCCACTGCCATCACCATGTTCCCCTGACATGTCACATATACACTTGTACTGAGCTCATTCAGCTGATTGTACATACCATCCACTGCCATCGCCATGTTCCCCTGACATGTCACATATAGCTCATTCACTTGTACTGAGCTCATTCAGCTGATTGTACATACCATCCACTGCCATCGCCATGTTCCCCTGACATGTCACATATACACTTGTACTGAGCTCATTCAGCTGATTGTACATACCATCCACTGCCATCGCCATGTTCCCCTGACATGTCACATATACACTTGTACTGAGCTCATTCAGCTGATTGTACATACCTGATTGGCGCATCCACTGCCATCGCCATGTTCCCCTGACATGTCACATATACACTTTGTACTGAGCTCATTCAGCTGATTGTACATACCATCCACTGCCATCGCCATGTTCCCCTGACATGTCACATATACACTTGTACTGAGCTCATTCAGCTGATTGTACATACCATCCACTGCCATCGCCATGTTCCCCTGACATGTCACATATACACTTGTACTGAGCTCATTCAGCTGATTGTACATACCATCCACTGCCATCGCCATGTTCCCCTGACATGTCACATATACACTTGTACTGAGCTCATTCAGCTGATTGTACATACCATCCACTGCCATCACCATGTTCCCCTGACATGTCACATATACACTTGTACTGAGCTCATTCAGCTGATTGTACATACCATCCACTGCCATCACCATGTTCCCCTGACATGTCACATATACACTTGTACTGAGCTCATTCAGCTGATTGTACATACCATCCACTGCCATCGCCATGTTCCCCTGACATGTCACATATACACTTGTACTGAGCTCATTCAGCTGATTGTACATACCATCCACTGCCATCGCCATGTTCCCCTGACATGTCACATATACACTTTGTACTGAGCTCATTCAGCTGATTGTACATACCATCCACTGCCATCGCCATGTTCCCCTGACATGTCACATATACACTTGTACTGAGCTCATTCAGCTGATTGTACATACCATCCACTGCCATCGCCATGTTCCCTGACATGTCACATATACACTTGTACTGAGCCTATTCAGCTGATTGTACATACCATCCATCGCCATGCCATCGACATGTCACCATGTGTACTGAGCTGACATGTCACATATACATCGCCATGTTCTTGTCACTGAGCTCATTCAGCTGATTGTACATACCATCCACTGCCATCGCCATGTTCCCCTGACATGTCACATATACACTTGTACTGAGCTCATTCAGCTGATTGTACATACCATCCACTGCCATCGCCATGTTCCCCTGACATGTCACATATACACTTGTACTGAGCTCATTCAGCTGATTGTACATACCATCCACTGCCATCACCATGTTCCCCTGACATGTCACATATACACTTGTACTGAGCTCATTCAGCTGATTGTACATACCATCCACTGCCATCACCATGTTCCCCTGACATGTCACATATACACTTGTACTGAGCTCATTCAGCTGATTGTACATACCATCCACTGCCATCACCATGTTCCCCTGACATGTCACATATACACTTGTACTGAGCTCATTCAGCTGATTGTACATACCATCCACTGCCATCACCATGTTCCCCTGACATGTCACATATACACTTGTACCTGGAGCTCATTCAGCTGATTGTACATACCATCCACTGCCATCACCATGTTCCCCTGACATGTCACATATACACTTGTACTGAGCTCATTCAGCTGATTGTACATACCATCCACTGCCATCACCATGTTCCCCTGACATGTCACATATACACTTGTACTGAGCTCATTCAGCTGATTGTACATACCATCCACTGCCATCACCATGTTCCCCTGACATGTCACATATACACTTGTACTGAGCTCATTCAGCTGATTGTACATACCATCCACTGCCATCACCATGTTCCCCTGACATGTCACATATACACTTGTACTGAGCTCATTCAGCTGATTGTACATACCATCCACTGCCATCACCATGTTCCCCCTGACATGTCACATATACACTTGTACTTCGAGCTCATTCAGCTGATTGTACATACCATCCACTGCCATCACCATGTTCCCCTGACATGTCACATATACACTTGTACTGAGCTCATTCAGCTGATTGTACATACCATCCACTGCCATCACCATGTTCCCCTGACATGTCACATATACACTTGTACTGAGCTCATTCAGCTGATTGTACATACCATCCACTGCCATCACCATGTTCCCCTGACATGTCACATATACACTTGTACTGAGCTCATTCAGCTGATTGTACATACCATCCACTGCCATCACCATGTTCCCCTGACATGTCACATATACACTTGTACTGAGCTCATTCAGCTGATTGTACATACCATCCACTGCCATCACCATGTTCCCCTGACATGTCACATATACACTTGTACTGAGCTCATTCAGCTGATTGTACATACCATCCACTGCCATCGCCATGTTCCCTGACATGTCACATATACACTTGTACTGAGCTCATTCAGCTGATTGTACATACCATCCACTGCCATCACCATGTTCCCCTGACATGTCACATATACACTTGTACTGAGCTCATTCAGCTGATTGTACATACCATCCACTGCCATCGCCATGTTCCCCTGACATGTCACATACACTTGTACTGAGCTCATTCAGCTGATTGTACATACCATCCACTGCCATCGCCATGTTCCCCTGACATGTCACATATATACTTGTACTGAGCTCATTCAGCTGATTGTACATACCATCCACTGCCATCGCCATGTTCCCCTGACATGTCACATATACACTTGTACTGAGCTCATTCAGCTGATTGTACATACCATCCACTGCCATCGCCATGTTCCCCTGACATGTCACATATACACTTGTACTGAGCTCATTCAGCTGATTGTACATACCATCCACTGCCATCGCCATGTTCCCTGACATGTCACATATACACTTGTACTGAGCTCATTCAGCTGATTGTACATACCATCCACTGCCATCGCCATGTTCCCCTGACATGTCACATATACACTTGTACTGAGCTCATTCAGCTGATTGTACATACCATCCACTGCCATCGCCATGTTCCCCTGACATGTCACATATACACTTGTACTGAGCTCATTCAGCTGATTGTACATACCATCCCACTGCCATCGCCATGTTCCCCTGACATGTCACATATACACTTGTACTGAGCTCATTCAGCTGATTGTACATACCATCCACTGCCATCGCCATGTTCCCCTGACATGTCACATATACACTTGTACTGAGCTCATTCAGCTGATTGTACATACCATCCACTGCCATCGCCATGTTCCCCCTGACATGTCACATATACACTTGTACTGAGCTCATTCAGCTGATTGTACATACCATCCACTGCCATCGCCATGTTCCCCTGACATGTCACATATACACTTGTACTGAGCTCATTCAGCTGATTGTACATACCATCCACTGCCATCACCATGTTCCCCTGACATGTCACATATACACTTGTACTGAGCTCATTCAGCTGATTGTACATACCATCCACTGCCATCACCATGTTCCCCTGACATGTCACATATACACTTGTAATAATGATAATAATAATAATAATAATAATTCATGATTTCTATAGCGCATCATTCACAGTCCTATGCTCTGTGCGCTTAGCAAGGGAAAGCCTGGGAGAAGAGAACAGTCTTTAATTTTGACTTGAAAGATTCAAGTGAAGAGGCAGATTCAAGGTTTACCGGAAGACGGTTCCATTTGTACAAAGGTAATAAAGTTTACCTTCAAATCTTTCTCAATAAATTTAACAAACCTTTGGATAATAGGATGATCAACAATCGGCCTTATCTGGGCTGATAATCAATTTGTAAGTATGTATAAGATTCTGAGCCAAGTATACATGGGACTGAAACTTTCACAACTTTAGTAAGAGCCTCCCCATAAACACCATGCAACCATCGACTGCTCTGGACTCAGTCTGTAATGCTAACTAGTAGAGGACAACTGTCAGCAAATCAACACAACCGATCATACTGAAGCATGCTGAGTTGTGGACGTTGTCTCAACAAAGTCATATCAACACAAATATATGTCCCATGTTAGAACACATGCACCAGACTCAAACCTTTCTCATATCCACTGGTACATACTAAATGTGTCATGCTAATGAATATAGCATCAACCGTTACTTGTCATCATTATACAGATGACAGTGGACTCACTTGATGGAGTAGGAGTTGCCTGTGCTGGAGTCTTCAATCTTGCCGTTCTCCATCCTGTACGGGAGACAGAAGCCTGTGTCACCTCGCTCCACCTCCTCCTTGAACTACACACAAAACATCATCACTCAGCTTGTAGATCCAGGTGTTATCATATATATGTATCCCCATACCTGTTGAGCACTCATGGAGAAATATGACAGGAGGAGTGTAACATTATTAGCATCCCAATGTGTGTTTCTTAGCATGCTTAACTGGAATATTTATGAGCATATTCACGTACTTCATATATACATTTATCATTTTAAAATAAGCACAGAAAACCAAATTCATTGTATCACATACTTCCTCAGTATGTTTATATGAAATTATTAAAATCTAAATATTTTAGATATTTAAATACTTACCTTACCATAGGTTTTGTTCATATTACCTCAAGCTCCGCTTAAAAGAGATCAGACAGTCGTTGATTCGCCATTCTCTAGAATGGCTGCCCCAAGTATCGACGAGTGTACAGGAACGGAAGTGACGTGATCTCCCCTCTCCACGCAAGCGTGGTCTATCCAAAAATCACTTTTACTGACCAGGTCTGAAGAGCCCAGAGAAGGGAGGAGCATCCAGCATTGGGAGGGAGTTACTGCCCTATGGTAAGGTAAGTATTTAAATATCTAAAATATTTAGATTTTAATCAATTATAAACTTACCTTACCATAGGTCTTATGCTTATGGATTCGCAGAGGCATCCAGTGTCGAACCGCTAGAATGACTGCTTGAAACTCCAAGTTGTTGATATGCCAGCCTAGCTCGGCGTCGGACCACAGCCCCGAGGTGGTCTGGTCGTTGAGGTGTGCACCCAAACCCTGAAGAGACGTGTCTACGAAAAGTTCGTGATCGTGAACAAACTCTGTCAAGGAGACTCCTACGCAGACGTTCGACTCTACAGTCCACCAGCGGAGGTAAGTGTGGAGATGCAGAGGCAGAAGGAACCTTCACTGGAGGTTGTCCGCCTGGATGTAAGACAAGAGGAAGCGCTGGTAACGGCCAGAGCATCAGACGACCTCTGAGCGTCAAGTCCTGGGCTGAGGTGAGGAGACCTAAGAGGGACTGCCACTCCCTGAGCGTGAGTGGCTGGGACAGACCTCGGCTGGCAAAACTGACAATTTTCCTCCAGCGATCCTGTGGAATTCTGACAAGGTCGCAGTGAGTCAGGAACAAGCCTCCTATGAACGTCAGTTCCTGGGATGGCTCCAGGTGGGACTTGTCTGTGTTGATAATCCACCCCAGTTGCTCCAGGAGACGAATGGCAAAGTTCATCTGTTTGCGAAGCAACTGAGGGTCGAGGTGGTTCATGAGACAGTCGTCTATATAAGGGTCGAAATCGATGACCCTGAGATGGAGGAACCGAGTGATCGGCGAGGTAATCCGAGTAAAAAGCCACGGGGCCGTGGAAATTCCAAACGGAAGCACTTTCCACTGGTAGTGGGACCCGTTGAAAATAAACCTCAGGTACTTCCTGTGGCGATGGTAAATGGGCTCATGCAGGTAGGCATCCTGGAGGTCGAGGCTGGCCAGCAAGACCCTGGGCGCAAGCTTGGCACGAGGCTGTTCAAGGGACACCATCCGGAAGTGAGGCGGCTCCAAAAGGTAAAGGTGGTTGAAAACTGCCATGTTGTGAATCATGCGCATTTTCGTTGAGTCTTTCTTGGGAACCAGGAAGATGGGTGAGTAGAACCCCGGGGACTGTTGGGGGTCTAGCACTGTCTCTATAGCTGCTTTGTCTAACAGAGTCTGAATGTTGTCTGCTAGCGGTAACTGTTGTTCTGGAGCATACATGCGTGACTGAGGCATAGTAGTCAGAGGCGGCGACACGGCGATTGGCAGCTTGTAACCGGTCTTGAGAATGTTGGTCACAAACGGATCTTCTAGGACTGTCCAATTGGGCCAGAAGATCCCCAGTCTCCCGCCTACTGGAGTAGGATGAACCCGCACGGCTGGGGGCGGGTGGTCCCAGTCGTGTTGGTTCCAAGCTTCAGCGACCTGAGTAAGGGCGCTTCCCCCTACCCCTGCTCCCGGGGCTCCCGGGGACGGTCCTGCTGACGGCGCTGAAAGTCAGGGTCGGACCTGCCATGGCCACGTCCTCTGCCGAAGGTGCTACGGACGGAGTCTCATCTTGGGACGTAACGGCCCTTCCCTCTACCCCTCGTAGACAACTTGCCACGAAAGGCCGAACTCAGAGTTTCGAAAGTAGACAGGGACGCCTCAGTATTAGTAAGCTCCGCGTGTTCCTTATAAACCTCCGGAATCCGGTCATCAAAGAGGAAGCCAGATGAGAAAGGGGCTCTCAACAGCTTTCTTTTGAACTCTTCCTGCCACGAGCAAGGCTCAATGAACCCCATCCGCCGGAACAACAGTCGTCATGGCCAACGCCGTCCGAAGGTGTGCCAGTAAATCATGTAACACCTTACCCTGCCATTGTAACAGGTTAGTAAGGTGTTCTGTCCTCGACGCATTGTCTTCAGTCAAGTCCCAAGCTGCAGCCGAAGTTGCAGAGGCCTACGCCGAAACAGGCTTCAACATCCTCTTGAGCTCTGCATCAATAGCCAACATCTTAAAGTCCTGCACTCGGTAAGAAGACTGTGGAGAACCCGATAAACAGTTTAGCAAAGTCGGCATCCAAAGAGGCCACAGCATCGGCCACCATCGGGTAAGGCGGGAGGAGTAACTCGGGAGAAGACCTAATAGCTCTCGGGTCGTCAGAGCCTGAAGAGGGAGAAGGACAATCCGGCAGTCTGTCGGCAATCCAGTCAAACACAGCAGATAGGGGGAGGCAAGTACCCCCATCATCTTCCTCTTGTAACATCTCTTCGTTATAATCAGGAGAAAAATAGCGCTCCTCAGCGTCCTCCCAGGACACAGTAGTAGCATTTTACCATTGGCCAGAAGCAGCATGCGTCGGGCGCTCAGATGACAGCTGAGAAACAGCACTAAAGGTAACTGTAGGGGAGTGTGGCCTCAACGAAATGGAGGCGACCTTGAACGGGACTGACGGTAGTGCCTCCCACGAGTCGGTGACCTTGAACTCCTCTCCCTATCATTGGGACATCTGGGAGAGCGAGACCTGGAATCAGACCGACGACGGCGATGACTAGTATCAGAACGAGGACTTCGAAAACAATGGCTCTGTCGAGGAGACCTAGAGTGAGACCGCTTAGAACGACAGGAGCGCCCGGCTTCCTGGCATCGGGAACGCTCTTCCAATAACTGACGCTGTAAATCCTCCTCTCGAGACAACGTAGACACGGGAGCCTTCTTGGGAATACGGTAGTCTGACAACGGCATTGGTGTTGGCGTTGGGGGAGGCGCTGGTTGATGCAGCAATCCAGCGACGTCAGAGCTAGGTGCCACTGGGACAGCGCTAGGTAACGAGGGTGTCGGCGCTGGAACGGCGCTAGCTTGGGCTTCAACTGCTGCAGGCAAGAGGAGCGTCCTTAGAAGCTTCTGTACCTCCGGATGAGATAAGGCATCTCGCTGAGATAAGTCCACAAAGGCGTCAGACGGGCGCTTGGCGTCAGGCATCAGCATACGTGGCACAGGTGTAGACATCTGTTCTGCTAAAGGAGAGGAGCGTCCGTCCGGCGTCCATGGAAGAAAAGATCTGGACCCCAACGAAGAAGACATCTTCCTCTTACGCTGTGACAACCGTTTCTTCTTGGCGGCGGTATAAGCCTTAAAATCGGCGACGGATAACGGAGTACAAAAATGACAGCGCTCAGCAAGTCAACAGGCCACAGTAGCGCAGTCTGGGCACCAAGGGTGGGGATCCTTGGCAGACTTCTGCACCTTGCAGATACAGCAAAACTGCCGGGTCATGCACACAAAGGCTGTAACACACAAAAACAAAAGTGAAACGTAAATACTACGTAAACACACAGAAAAAAAAAACCTGCAGAGAAAATGGAAACACCCCTGCAGCAAGAATGTCCAAGCAGGCGGCAGTAGAGTAACCAAACAAAGATGGCTGCCCCCACTGAGCCGAAAACAGCATGAAATACAAGCACAAATTAGGCAATAATATCAAGAAACACAAAACTAAGCATGAACATTATGGTGAAAAAGACATAGGGGAATACAAAACACCAAACATGCCCAGTGGAGCGACATGCGCGACATGGGAACACACCCCACACCGAAGTGAGAGACACGAGGCAGTCAGGTAACTGAAGTTTACTTTAATTCTATTCTTCACCCACACAGAGAAGAATATAGGATATAAAAAGCATACATACCGAAAACAAACAAGAACTTTAATATCTGAAAGAATCAGTAAGTAGCAAACTAGCGAAATCAAAAAACTTCTGACACGCAGTACGCTTGAAGTAAAAGTGATTTTTGGATAGACTGCGCTTGCGCGGAGAGGGGAGATCACATCACTTCCGTTCCTGTACACTCGTCGATACTTGAGGCATCCATTCTAGAGAATGGTGAATCAACGACTGTCTGATCTCTTTTAAGCGGAACTTGAGGTAATATGTATAAGACCTATGGTAAGGTAACTTAAAAATATGAAATATAGGTAGTCTCTAGCCATCTTTCACCAACAATAAACTCATCCTTGAAAACTTGTAATGATCTCTGGATCACAAATCATGTTTACACCAAATACTGAAGTGACACAGTTGAACATCAGCAATCTTAAACCATTGCTAACATCACTGCCTACCACTGAACATGTTAATGCACCCTTGGCACTAAATCTTGTAAAAGACCAACCTGTTGTAAGCAGTCTAGGAAGGCCACCATCGCTTGGTCAAACCTGAAAATAGGTGACGTAATTAAGAACATACAAGCTATTGAGAAGTGTCCAAGAAATAAAAAAAGCCACCAATATATGGAGTACTGAAGGCAATGTTACCAACAATGATCCCCTTGTGGCAGAGGCACACTGAATACCAATCACATATAAACACTCCCTACATGCTACAAGGAACTACACATGATCTGTCCTGAATGAATTAACATGAGAACTTCAATATTACAGAGAGAGACAAACATTTGTTTTGTTCGCTCTTTAACACCACACTCAGCAATATTTCTGCTGCATGACGGTGATTTGTAAATAACCAAGTTTTGAAGTTATTGACAACTAACCAGAGATACACAATAGCATTTAACTATGAGGCTAAGATGTATGTTCACAGTAAAACCAATTCTGAGGAGGAGATTAGGGGAGAAGGTGCACATCTTACACTGCCTCACATCAGTTCGTAATGATCAAGTTCATTCAGACTATCAGTCTCATGGCTCAGGTTAAGGTGAAGAAGTAACAAGGAGGATGCTCCATACTTCATGAGGGTGGGCTCAAGGACACGTCAGACTGGCTTCTTCTACAGGGTTTAATCCAGAAGCACAGATCAACACAGATTCAGGCACACACTCATAATGCAAGCTGCCAATCAATCCACAATCAGCTAATTCCACTGCATATACATACGACTGTGGACAGTTATTTATTGTTTTCTAAAAGCATTCAAAAGAAATATGTATACTATTTATGACAACTGGAAGCCTATCTTCAAGGCAGAATCAAATACTGACTACAACTGCCCAAGTGGAAAAAACGACCACCTACTTTGTGTCCCAGAAGAAGCGGAATCCCCCAGACCCATAGAGCGGCAACTCCTTGGATTTGTCAGACAGGGACTCCAAGTAGGAGTGGTTTCCATACGGCACTAGTCGGAATCTGCCCGGAAACAGATTACTGTTGATTAATCTATAATAACATTGCTGTTAGTTGGACATTGACATAATCCATAAAACACACATTGCAATGTCAATATAAGGAAATGTGAAGAATGATGTAAAATCCAATGAAAAATGTTACTTATATTCCAGGGATCAAATCTGTAACCTTCATATCTGTAGGCTAGTGAGTGAACCCCTAAAAATACCATAAACATCTTCCATCAAAATAAATCATGAGGACTATTATTTTTATAATTTTAGACGTGTCTCCAGGGCACATTGAAAAAAAGTCATCCATGCCATTTCACTATTTTGTGCCATGGCACACAAATTAAGCACTGCTTTCATCACTGCATGGTCTCGAACAGGCTGTAGTGTGAAGGACTAAAATGAGCAATATCTGGAATGACACTATTGATACAACTCGATTTGAAAACACTAAAAACACAAACTGTGCAATAAACATCATACATATATTGTGAATGATCCAATATGTGAAATTGGAGATGTAAGTATACTGCATGGTTTCAGTACCATCATGATAAACACAAAGTCCATGATGATGGAACCAATCTCAATATTGCCTTGGACATATTGGACCTGATTATTATGTTTCCATTGGAACCGTTTGAATACTGAATATGTTTTGACACTGTCATAGAAAACAGATTGCTCCATATTCAGGAACCTTTTAATTAAATAACTTGGTTTGATATTCAGTAGCTCCAGCATGTATGTGACAAGATGTTACCTTTGGAATGTGAGGTTCATCTTCCTGGCCAGTGAATGTAAGAGTAGCACAGTCTGACCCCAGGCTGCATTGATCTCATTCCAGTCAACCTGCACAAATAACAGCAGGTTGTCACAAGAAAGGTACAGGCCACTTATCAAGATCTACCGTACAAGTTGCAATATGATACATAGCAGGTTGGAAAAGTTAGGCTTTTGCACATCAAGGTGAGTTTCCTGGTAAACATGACGAAGTCATTATGTATCAGTGCTACAATCGGCAGTAACAGTTTACTGGTGGTCACAAACCTGAATGTGTTGAATAATCTACAATTACAGTCTACTCCTTGATACTGACATAACTGACACATAAACCACTGCATTCCAACATATACCACATAGACCCACTCACTGGCACACTAGGAAGACGGCCAAGACGGAAGTTATTTATGGTGCCAAAATGTCCAGAGTGCCTGAAAAAGATGGATTCAAATAACTTGTGTCAAAATCATGTGCATTCACTACATGAAATGGACAAAAATGCGTTATAAAAATCTGACTGAAAAACATTCCACAAATTATATACACTCACCAGATATGAAATGTTGCATTGAACACATTGGTTTTCTTCAGTTTATCGAGTTGAGCCTGGGCGTACCGAAGCTGGTTGTCGACACTGAAAGGAGGTGAGGGAATCTACTGATTCAGGGTTTGAAACTGATCACCTAATTGGATAGATAGATTGTGGCTCACGTTCTCTGTGGTGTATATTCCTAAACAAGTAAACAAACCATTCCTGCATACATCTTTCCACTTTGGTTTTAGAAATACAATGCAGAGTGTCTCTAAACAAAGGAGCCTTAACATCACTACTTCACGTCATCTTTAGGTGTTTAAGGATAATAGCAAAGACCTGGCTTTCCATGTTAGTGCCCCAAACAATGGAACATACTGTCACCTTCTTTGTTCATCTTCCAGCTCCAAGGCCTGGCGTTTGTACTCATTGTAATCTTTCCGGTACCTGAAGAGAAACATGTATATGCGGATTCACTTCCAACAATATGATCCTCACAGTATCACACTTAGACATGGGCATGTGTCCCAATCACAAAAGATATTTAATGATGTCCCCCCATATTCTTAAACCTTTATTACATGGATTTGGCAAATCTTCTGCACTATAACAAAAACATGCAACTTATATATCCCTTAATGATTGCTTTACAGTTGTGGTTGTGGTCGTGAAGCCTAGTTCCCCCAGAGTTATCTCCCTTACTTTGCCTCCTGCTGCTCCAGTTCCTCGGTGTTCCTCCGCTCGTTCTGAATCAGCTCCATAAGCTCCTCCCTCTCCTTCTCTACACTGGACAGCTGCTGCTTCAGTGTCTCCTCCTCAGCCTGAAGCTGTCAACACCAACATGCCACATCTCAGAGAGAACCAGGCTTGGAAATAAAGCAACACCAGAAGGCCTATCAAACACTTAGTGAAATCTTTGTGTCTCCAAGGTTTTATGGAATGAATTACCATATCAAATGGATATAAGTCATCCTGTAAAAACCTACTGAAAGTGAAGCTTGCCATGGCGTGTTCAGAGACTGGCATGAGAAGTGTACGAACCTGTTGTAGTTCTTTGTCGAGGGCCTTCTCGTCCACCTCATCCCCAGATGTACCCAGTTTCTCCAGGAAGTCTCTGTACACACATCAACACATACAACGTCAGACTGGATACAATCATGTAGCAGTTTCAGCCTAACCTTAGCATGGCCACATGCACAATTCCACACAATTCAGTTTCAGCAAGTTCATACTGAAGACATTAATAATGCAATTTTTCAAGTAAAATTGATATTTTTATACTTATCTTGACTCATGATCTTTTGCTTATCTCCCTTTCCCTTGTGAATGGTAGTGGAACACTTGAATCTCTTGAAGTTCCCGAAGCGGACGAAAAATACACTCACCCACGAGTTACCTCCCTTTTCCCTCGTAAACAGTCATGTCACCAGCCTTATTTGACACTTCTCCTGATTTTTCCTGCCCAAGCACTTGGATCTGCTGTGCAATCTGGTGTGTTTCCAACGGGTAGGTCGGGAGGGCTTGACCTCATGAGTCAGGATAAGTATAAAAATATCAATTTTACTTGAAAAATTACATATTTTTTCTTATCCTGACTCATAATCTTTTGCTTATAGAATCGTGCGGATTGGTGGTGGGTCAGGCCACTTCCTGGATTCATCAGCTGTCCTTTAGATACGTCCTGTATCCTAACTGCCTAGCAGCATTTCTGAGATCCTATTCTTCCAACTTCCGTTATAACTCGGGGGGAACCACTTCTTGTCTTACTTCCATCTCAGACAAGTTGATTCTTGTGGATTCAGATAAACTAGTATCTTTCTATTACTAGATATCTTATAACAACCCATACATTATGATAAGATCTCTATCATAAATGAGTTGCGACCCCTTCACGAAAAGGTAAGATCTTTACCCGTACAGGATCTTTAATCACTCATGCTAGTCTGTCCTAGACTGTGTGCATGGACTTTCAAACTAATACTTTTCCTTAGTAAAAGTTATCAACAAGTCAAAGTGATAAAGGGTGAGATTTTCAAACGCAGCGCCTTTGAGGAACCATTAGTTGCTGTGCTACAACGAGAGGCCCAAATTGGTGAATGCCGGAGACGTCTTCAGTGGCTATGTCTCGGAGGTAGTGGTTGGCAAACACTGTGTCCGACTTCCAAAAGCAGTCCGCCATAATTGCTGATATAGAGCAATTTCCATGCAGAGCCAATGTTGACGCCAGTGCTCTGACTTCGTGTGGGTTGGAAGCTCTAGGAGGTTCTAGTCCTGCTGCTTTATAGGCTCTCAACATGACAGCTCTCATCCAGAACGATATCGTCGTTCTTGAGACTTCTACTGATGTCTCTGTGGATAATGGGATGAACAGGCGCTTGAAATTTCGTCTCCTTGTCTTAGTCTTTTGAAGATATATCTTCAGGGCTCTGACTGGACACAAGGATAGGTCCTCTATATCCTCTAGTCCGAGGATTGTAGAAAGCGCTGGTACGTGGAACTGTCTATCTGGCTGACCAGGTAGTGGGTTCTTGGCAATGAAGTCCAGCGTATGTATCTCTGATATTCGAGCTGCCGTGGCTAACAGAATCTTCTGTGTTAGCAGCTTGAAGGTAGTCTGATCTAGAGGTTCGTAGGCATCACTTGTAAGATGACGTAGAATTACATTCAGATCCCAGGCTTGAGCTCTGAACTTCTTTTGCTGGTCCTCCAGTTTGAAAGATCTCATCAGAACAAGTAATTCTGGTACTTTTGTCAACTTGATGCCTGTTTTCATGGTAATCACTGTACTCATGGCAGCGAGGTATGTAGATAATGTCGAACCTTTCAGATGTCTAGTCTGTCTAAGATGACACAGGTATTCCGCCACTTGAGGATGAGTAGCTTTCATAGCAATGAAGCCTTTCCGCCTTGCATATGTCTCAAACTTCAGCCACTTGTCATCATACAGGTTACGAGTAGATCTGGGTAATGCTAGCGTTACTGCCTTGGCTGTCCTGGCGGAGTATCCTCTTTTCTTCAAACATGTTTTGATACGGTCCACACGTGTAGCTGGAACAGTGTTGGGTTCCCGTGGACTTGCTTGGTGTGCGGATGTATTAGTAGGTTCCGCCAATCTGGTAACTTGATTGTTGAGATCTTCTATTAGGTCTAGGAACTATACTCTTGCTGGCAAGTATGGCGCGACCAAGGTCAGTTGTAGCGCCTGTGTCTGCTTGATCTTCAACAGTACTTTCGGTAGTATTATCAGTGGTGGAAACGCATAAGCGTTTAGTCCTTCCCATGATATGTTCAGTGCATCTGTTGCCCAGGCTTGAGGATCTGGAACTGGTGAGACAAACGTCTGTAGTTGTTTGTTGAACCTCGTGGCAAACAGGTCTACGCATGGGGATCCTATTTCCCTTATGATGAGCCGAAATGCTTCTGGATGGAGCATCCATTCCGTAGGTGACGGGTGCAGTGGTCAGGAGAGAGCGTCTGCAAGCAAGTTCTTGGCTCCGGGTATCTGACACACCTTTATCCAGATGTTTGCTTCCTCCGTGATGTCAAACAACTGGAATGTGAGCTGTAGTAGGCTTGGTGATCTTGTAGATCCTTGCCGATATATGGAGAATGCCACTGTAGAGTTGCCCGTGTGGACCATCAGCATTCTGTTGATCAGCGAGCTCGACCATAGTTGTAAGGTGTTGATCACAGCTTTCATCTCCAGCAGATTGATGTGAAGATGCTGCTCTGTTTTGGACCACTTCCTTGATGCAACTTGATAGTTGAGATGTGCACCCCAACTTTGTATCGATGCGTCTACGTAGAGATGTGTGTCGAAGGCCGGCTCTTGTAAATAGGTCCCTCCGCAGACATTCGAACTGTAGGTCCACCAAAGTAGGTACCTCTTAAGATTGTCTGGCAGCAAGATAGGGTCGACGCTGTCCAGATGTTTTGTCAGGAACCGTTGCAGCGGCCTTAGTTGTAACCTTCCTGTGCGAGTCAAGTCCTGCGCCGAGGTTAGAAGACCGAGTAGACATTGCCATGTTCGTAGTGTTAACAGAGAGATGACTGCTTGTGGAATCATGGCTTGTATCTTGACCCAATGATCTTCTGGTACCACAATTCGATTCTGTGTTGTCTTAATTCTTATTCCCAGCAATTGAAGATCTTGTTTGATTATAACTACAACTTCATCACTAGCCATCCTAGTTGCGTGAGCAACTTCATTGTGAAGTTCAGCTGCTGTCTGAGTTGATAGGCACTTTGAAGAACCTGTATGCTGTCGTCCAGATAACTGGCACTGCATAGACCTCGATGTTGCAGATAGGTGCTGATATGCTTGGTTATTCGTATGAATAATCATAGAGCCGATGATATTCCAAAGGATAGGACATTCCATTGGAAGTGCTAACCTCTGATTGCAGTGATGATACATCATTCTTCCCCTTATATACGCAGGCGTATGCGATCTGTGTTGATCAGCATACATGGAAGCGTTGTCTATTTATAGCAAGCCTGGCTCCAGTGTAGCATTGCAGGGGACAGGTACTCATACCGACTTTTATCAGTGACAACTTCCAAAATAAACATCGTTAATGCTGCTGTCAAGGCTAGACATCTATTAGATTCCCATGATGATAACAGGCCGTAGTTGTATACTGTTTCCAAGGCTGCCGATGAAGTATTTCCCAGTACCACGGGTTTGTTTACAAGTAAGTAAACATGCTGGAGCCTGCTCTGTCAGTGGGAGGCGTTGTCTGACGTGGACCAATCAGCTTCCAAGCATGACGTCACTGGTGTTGTAGCAAGTTGGCCTCCATAAAATCTGATGCAATTAGTTGGTTGAGTAAAAGCGTAATTCTACACCACTCATATAAACCTCTTGAATAAGGGTTGCTCCAAGTGTAAATCTTGTTCAGTGATATAAATCACGTATTCCCATTGTGGGTAATATAAGCCAGCATGATGAAGGAGGTATGTCTGTATTGATCTTGAAGAAATACCGATGTTGTATCTAGTTGATAGGATATAAAATCCTAATCCCCACACTGAGTGACGAGTATCATCTGTACGTCCGTTCAAGGATTCTTGAAGGCGTTGTTAACCTTAAGCCCTTTACAAAAGTCACCTTGAGGTTCTCCAGTACTTGAGATATCGGCTTCATAGGTGATATATTGGAATCGAAGTCATCAGCCTATATGCAGTACGTCTCTATTGGGTTGGAGTGAGTGAGTGAACTACAATATCCGCAGGCCATCTGCTACCCGGTATAAGACCTCAGCATCCGTATAGATGAAGTGATTCCTTTCATCAAGTAGGTTGTCGTCCGAAACTGAACCTATACAGGTATATAGTTTGTGCAGGTTGTAGAGTTGTGCAGGCTGTAAACTGCAGAGATCGCACATGGTGTAGATCTTTTTGTTGAGTTTTGCACTCACACAAAACCATCCGTTTTCATCATTGCTTTGTTTATTCAGCCATCTGGTAATAGAGTCGACGTAAATATCCTGCCTGTTGATGTAAGGGTTCGTGAACCCTGTAGATGTCTGCGTTGCTGTTATCTACCTGTAGATCTAAGAGTTCTTGAACCTTGTAGATGTCTGCAACTTTCTCAAAGCTGAGAGTAGGATAGAAGGTACCTTGGATATAGGTTCAATCGGAGGAATAGTCACCGAGTCAAAGTCGTCATTACGCATCTTAAAAGTGTAGACTTCATCTATATCCTTAGAAGGAGACTCCAAGTTCAAACCATTGGCTATCCAAGCTGTAACCTCTGAGTCCGGGAAGACTATATATCTCCTATCTTGAGAGTCCTCTCTTCGCGAACCTCTATCTGTGGATTCATCTCTTCGCGAACCTCTGTGACGTGAGCCTACTCTTCGCGAACCTCTGTTGCTAGATATATCCTTTCGCGAACCTCTGTGACGTGAGCCTTCTCTTCGCGAATCTCTGTCTCGTGATGAGTGACTTTGCGAACGTCTGTGAGAGATATGAGATCTCGATCTAGAACGGCTAGGTGTAGGAGATGGATCCTTCGATGTTCTCGAACGTTGAGGGTTCGCAGATGTAGAACGGTGAGTAGGCATCTCATGTCTTTTACTCTCCTCCAAGATGACAGAGTCGTCCGACTGTGGAGACCTTCGCAAAGGTGTACGTTCGCCATGCGTACTCTTGAGACATAGTTCTATGAGGAGTAGGTTCGCGCAGGTCCGTAGGTTTGCGCACGATGTCAGTAGATGGGAGGCTTCAGAGCCTTCGCTTCTTCCTCAAACCTACATTCCATCATGGCCATCATCTGGTTGGTGAATTGTCTCATAATTTCACCCGGATCAAGTTCTGCATTGATTGAAGCTGCTGCGGTGTAGAAGAAGCGTTCATGAACGCTGATGAGTTGTGTGCCTCGACTTCACTCTGTTGAGAAGTTTGTGGTAGTTCGTCAAACAGCTGGCCTGCTGTGACCGTTGCAGGAGACCATCTAGTAGTCGTGGAAGTCGATTGAGTTGCCGATCTCGTAGGAGCTTCGGGTAGAAGTAACCGGGGATCAGCAAAAAACGTCTTCTTCATGCGAAGGTAATATCTCTTTGTTGAAGGATTTCTGATGCATTGACTTACGTCTTTTTCTTAGCTTGAGTCAGAGTCAACTGTGTTGTAGCCGATCTTTTCTTGGCCCCCGTACCAGCAGACTGCCCCTGCAACGTACTCAACATAGCACCAGTATTATGAATTTCAGCAGTAGCAAGCAACATATGGTTTGTAGGCTTATCTCCTGCTTTATCAGCCGTGACTTGGGATGACTTCCTTACCAGATCCATGGCACGTCTACAGATATAAGACAAATATTGATTAAATTGTAGATTTGATAAATCAACACAATAAGAACAGCGCAAGCTGGAAGAACATGGTTTGATGCACGAAGGGCATTGGGGGTGAGGATCAGCCACGGATAACCTGTGCCTGCAAACACTGCAAGATTTCATGAAATGTAAACAAGTTACATCACGATAAAATTATGACACCAATACAAATAATTTTTTAATTTGTTTTTACATATAACACAATGTAGTTATAGCCAAATCCATACACAGCATAATTTTGAAGAATAGGACCTAAATAAAAAGGATATAATGCCGTATACAGGACTCCAGTGCTCGCCCAACCATCCACTTCGGGGAAAAGGGAGAGAGTGACAAGTAAGGCTGGTCACATGACTGTTTACGTGGGAAAAGGGAGGTAACTCGAGGGAGAGTGTATTTTTACGTCCGCTTTGGGAACTTCAAGGGATTCAATTGTTCCACTACCATTCGCAAGGGAAAGGGAGATAAGCAAAAGATCATGAGTCAGGATAAGACAAAATAAGGTTTGTATGGCAATGCTCACCTGTAATCTTTGCACTCATCCTCTGTCACTTTCAGCTGATGATCCAACTGATCCAGCAGGTTGTCTGTGCATTCCTGCAACCATGACAACGCAGGAAATTACCAAACCTCAACAATAACTACAGTCGAAGTGCCAATATGTTGTTGAAATGTTATTCACCTTGCCATAACTGGGTGCTACAATATCTAAACCAGGACAAGATTACTTCCAAAGGAATATTTGTTTTCTTCATGTTTCTTTTGTTATGCAGAGAAGTATCATTCTGGAGTAAAATACATGATTTTAGTCATATTGAATTATGCATATGCAGTCTTAGAAAAATGTACTGACAGGTGATACTGACCTCACAAAGTGGGTGGTCCACCTCAGACTGACCGGACATGATGTCAAACAGGTAGCTTGTCACCTGCACAGAGAAGGAAGTGTGTCTCATGTTATGATTGTTCAGCAATGAGTGGGAGTGTGTGCTGTGATCTGATTTTTTGGAAAGCATTGGTAAATGAGACTGGATCCCTCAGAAATATTAATCATAACGCATATTTATTTCTTGCATCCTTGCAGCTGCAGCCAATGCCAGATGAAATAAAGTCTTGAATTAGAAACTCAAAGTCCACTTCCTGAACAGGTTCATAAACACCACATTTCAGATATTGAAAGTCTATACTTGGTGAGTTTAACTCCTCTATCCACTGTCAAGACTGATCTGATATACATATCAGTCAATAAATAAGTGGCTGGGGTAGAACGTTTCAGGTGTCTTGTACTTCTGAGATGATATAAATATTCTGCAACTTGAGGATGAGTAGACTTTGTTGCCATCAACCCCTCCCATCTTGCAAACTGGTCCAGATACTTCCATTTATCATTATAGAGACTTTTAGTAGATCTTCTGATACCTAAAGATCCACCCTTGGCAGCTCTACCTGAATATCCTCTGATAAGGTTGATAATGATGTGTTCCATACATGAAGTTAGAGAGGTTGTCTTGAATGAGGATGAAGAAGATTTGGCCAGTTTTGAAGCTACAGACTTGGTGTTCCTGCTGCAGCTATAAGACTTGGAAACAACATTCTCAAGGCCAATAATGCGCTACTGAAGTCAGTTTCAAGTTCCTTGTTTGCTCAGTCTTCCCTATAACTCTTGGAATGAGTACCTGTGGAGGGAACATGAAGACCTTCCCAGGATATTGCTAGCATGTTGACAGTTCATGATAAAGGGTCTGGAACTGGAGATACGAAGGTTGCTCTCGGTTTATTGAATCTCGTTGCAAACAGGTCTATCGGTGGACAACCTTGCTGCTGTACTGCCAGTTGAAATGCTTCCGGATGTAACCTCCATTCTGCTGGTGATGGCTTGTTTGGCCTGGACAGCACATCTGCTATGAGATGTTGCTCTTATCATGAAGTTAAGACCCTGTCTGTCAGTTCGTACATCAAGGAAGTCGACAGGTTAATTTACCTGGGCAGTGTCGTCAGTAAACATGGGGGGACGGACGAAGACATCAAGTGCCGAATCAGCAATGCCCGTCACGCCTTCAACACCCTACAGTCAATGTGGAGATCAACAGTCCTCTCACTTCACAACAAGATCCGGATCTTTAATACCAACGTTAAGTCGGTCTTACTTTACGACTCAGAAACCTGGCGGGTAACCAAGCCCAACACCCACAAACTCCAGACATTTAAAAACAGATGTCTAAGGAACATCCTCAACATCAGGTGGCCGGAAGTTGTATCAAACGAACAACTGTGGGACAGGACCAGACACGCCCCAATCGAATCCGAAATAAAAAAAAGGACTGCCTGACTGACTGACTGAGTTTGGTTTTACGCCGCTTTTAGCAATATTCCAGCAACATCACAGCGGGGGACACCAGAAATGGGCTTCACACATTGTACCCATGTGGGGATTCGAACCTGGGTCATCGGCGTGAGGGGCCAACGCTTTAACAACAAGGCTACCCCACCGCCCCTCAAGAAAAGGAAATGGGGATGGATTGGTCATACGCTCAACAAGCCTGCCTCTAATGTCACCAGGCAGGCCCTTGACTGGAAATTAGTGGAATCCACAAGGGAAGTGAAAAGTGGGTTGACCAAAACAAACTTGGTGCAGAATATATCGACGCAGAGGCGAAGGCAGCTGGAATGACGTGGGCTGAGCTGAAGAGGAACTCCCAGAACCGCATCCATTGCAGGGGTGTTGTTGCAGCCCTTATTTCCCCGAGGAATTAAGAGGAGACAGAACAGAACAGTCAGTTCGTACAGTTCAAACATAAACTGTTGAAGACTTGCCTACCTTGTTGTGCCTTGTAGATCGATGTTGATTGATTGATTGATTGATTGATTGAATGTGGGGGACAACAGAAATGGGCTTTACATATTGTACCCATGTGGGGAATAGAACCCGGGTCTTCGGTGTGACGAGCAAACGCTTTAACCACTAGGCTACACCATCGCCCCAATATGCCTCAAACAATGATGGCTAAAGTTGAATGTTTGCATGGTTTGAGCTGCAATATGTTCATCATGCCAAAAGCAAGCTATTTGCAGGTACCCAGCTGTGTCTGACCACACTTACATCTCTACTTTCAGAACAATCAGTTCAATCAATGGTCACACACTTCAATCCACACAACGATGTTAACAGATGCTTGATGGGCATTTAGAAGTTGGAAGGTAACATAACAACATATGGTATTCATTTACAGCCTCTTTCTTATTTACAACACAACACTTCTTGACTCTTCATCAGGTGAATGGTAACACCAAACATATTGTAGGACCCCTCAAATCTGCCAACCATGAAACTCCCCCTGGCGTGCCTGCAGTGTAATCCCTGACATCTATTGTTTAGGAAGTCATGTCTGGTGAAGACAGTCTGTGGACTCTACAATACCAACCAGAAGGGACCGCTACATACCTTGAGTCTGGTGAAGACAGTCTGTGGACTATAGAGTACCAACCAGAAGGGACCGCTACATATCTTGAGTCTGGTGAAGACAGTCTGTGGACTATAGAGTAACAACCAGAAGGGACCGCTACATACCTTGAGTCTGGTGAAGACAGTCTGTGGACTATAGAGTACCAACCAGAAGGGACCGCTACATACCTTGAGTCTGGTGAAGACAGTCTGTGGACTATAGAGTACCAACCAGAAGGGACGCTACATACCTTGAGTCTGGTGAAGACAGTCTGTGGACTATAGAGTAACAACCAGAAGGGACCGCTACATACCTTGAGTCTGGTGAAGACAGTCTGTGGACTATAGAGTACCAACCAGAAGGGACCGCTACATACCTTGAGTCTGGTGAAGACAGTCTGTGGACTATAGAGTACCAACCAGAAGGGACCGCTACATACCTTGAGTCTGGTGAAGACAGTCTGTGGACTATAGAGTACCAACCAGAAGGGACAGCTACATACCTTGAGTCTGGTGAAGACAGTCTGTGGACTATAGAGTACCAACCAGAAGGGACCGCTACATACCTTGAGTCTGGTGAAGACAGTCTGTGGACTATAGAGTAACAACCAGAAGGGACCGCTACATACCTTGAGTCTGGTGAAGACAGTCTGTGGACTATAGAGTACCAACCAGAAGGGACCGCTACATACCTTGAGTCTGGTGAAGACAGTCTGTGGACTATAGAGTACCAACCAGAAGGGACCGCTACATACCTTGAGTCTGGTGAAGACAGTCTGTGGACTATAGAGTACCAACCAGAAGGGACCGCTACATACCTTGAGTCTGTGACTGAGGTTCTCCATGCTACCAGGCCCAGTCTCTCCCAGCAGAGTGAAGTCCTGGCTGCTGTCAACTTCACTGAAAAGTACCGATGAAATGTTTCACACCTACTGAATGCCACAAACATATGTATTTACATCTCCATCACAGATACATTAAGTTCTAATGTTCAGACATGGTCATGTCCTTACTATTTGATACAAACAACATTTATAAGTGAGTTATTGTTACATCTAAGTAAACACCATCAAGTTTTAAGACTTCAGAAAGAGCTACCAGATAACACAAAATGGACTGTATTCTTATCACAGACACAGAACATGATCAACTCAGGAACATATACATGATAATTGTACATCCAAAATCATCATGTATACTAGCCACATTAAAAAACTGTGCATTGTCAAAATATGATCCCAGTTGATAAGTACGGTAACAATGTCAAAGGTACATATAAACTTTAATGGAGGGATCATGAGACCATAACTAGTCGGGAGAATTTCAATTGAAAAGTCAATTACAATGACGTCACAAGTCCACAAGCAGGACAGGGGTCAAACGACCATGTCACAAGCTCAATAACGGGTATGTCCACCATCGGCATTGAGAACAGCAGTGCATCGACGATGCATAGAGCCTATCAAACGTGCAAGGAAGGCTTGTGGCATGTCACACCAGATTCTCTCAAGTTCTGTTGCAAGGTCAAGGACTTTATCTGGCGGATGAGGAAGACGGCGTAGACATCGATCCATCTCGTCCCAAACATGCTCTATCGGGGAAAGATCCGGTGAATTTGCAGGCCAAGGCAGTAAGTCAACGTTGTGGTGTTGCAAGAAATCCATAGCAACCCTTGCCGTATGAGGGCAGGCATTGTCCTGTTGGAATGTTAACCCAGGGCCATGACGTGCAGAAAAGGAATTGCCACAGGTCGAAGAATCTGATCTCTGTAGCCCACACCAGTTAAGTTGCCCTGAACAATCACCAAAGGAGTTCTTTGGCGTGCTGTTATTCCACCCCAAATCATCACGGAACCACCACCAAAGCGATTCTCCCCAAGACACAGGCCTGTGCAAAACGTTCTCCCATGCGTCTATAGGCACGTTGACGTCCATCACTATGAGAAATGTTAAACCTGGACTCATCTGTAAAAACAACATTTCTCCACCAAAACAAGTGTCTGCGGACATGATTTCGGCACCACATTCGGCGAGCTTGTCGATGAGGTTGTGTCAGGATAGGCCGTATGGCGGGACGTCGTGGTCAGATCCCGTGATGACGTAAACGTTGTCGAACTGTGTTGGGGTGGATACGGCGAAGTCCTGGGATGGTTCAGGCAGTCATCACTGCAGTCTGAAACCTGTGGCGAAGATGGGTCACCCTTATCCATCTGTCCTGTCTTGGCGTTGTTACCGTGGGCGTCCAGAACGGCCGCGTCGATGGCGTCATTTGTGTTCTGGTAGCGTCTCACCAGTGCAGAAATGGTGTTCCGGTGTCAGTGGAAATGTGCAGCCACTTGTCGTTGAGACATTCCCCCACGGACCATCCCAATGGCCTCATGACGTAGTGCAGACATGAGCCTTGGCATGCTATGCGTTTCAATAGCTGTTTAATATTTTGAACGATCGCAAGGGCAGGGGTTGAGCTTTCCAAAGTGACAGTATTGTGTGGCATTCATTTGCTCTGTTTCTCTTTCCCGGAATGCACGTGCAACAACGTATTGCACGTCTCAAGGACGAACCCACTGACGTCATGGAACGTGGCACGTGCATGCATGTTGGATACATGTCACTAATCTCTGAGTTTAAATCCTTATGTGTCTACACAGGTTTGATAAATTTAGATTTTAAATTTTTGTATGCACAGTTTCTTTATGTGCCTAGTATACATAGTTTCTAATTTAGTCTAGTATCACAAACAGGAAGTATGACAAGCAAATAGGGCTGGGACGGGTCCAAATTTTCTAACCGGGTACGCCATGCCCTATTACTCTACCCTACCCTGATACCCTTTCAAATCAAGTAACAAGTAAGTAAATTACGTCTATGTCTTCAAAGACAATACAACCTTTTAATCCTGAAAGAATAACATATTACATTGTATAATCTATTAGTCACATGATCATAACAGGTGAGGCTATTGAGACGGGCCAGTTCCAACTCATTACCCACCCAAAGCAAGCAAGTATATATACAGTGTTACGCATATTGTATTCAAAGTCACTGTATGAAGCCACGACACTGTACATGCTGCATCCTCGATTATCTCCAGGGAATATGTTGCAACAAATCTCAACTATGCCCTGGAGGCATCTACGGGTCGGCCCGTTGATTTTATTACCTCCCTTGGCTGGCTTTTTATCCAATCACAACTCACTTTCGCTTCTTAAATTATCTAACCGATTAAATTTGGGACACAATTGTTGCAGAGGTACTCTGAAAGAGGTAGAAGAAGTTCTTGCATATATTTTCTTAAAGAACAAATAAACTTTGTTTATTTGTACTCTTTTAACTATTACATATGAAAGATTTGTGGTTAGTCTTATGCGGAACACCAAATTCATTCTTAAAAAACTTGTGGTTAATTAATACCGAGCGATTAAAAGTTGCCAAAAAGTCGCCTGCTTCACTCTCGCCCGCCAACGAAACCACAGACAGGTTACGTAACTCTGTCGCCAGAGCACTGCAGTGACGTCATATGAGGAAGGATTTTCAGTTAGTTGTATAGAAAGTGTGTAGCAAGCTCGTCATTTACATGATTTCTCGACATCAACGAAGACATGCCGAATCGTTGCGTTGTCGTCAATTGCTCTCAGGGGTCGGGCGATGGTGTCACCATGCACAGATTTCCACAGGACCCCGCAGTTCGTGCTAAATGGGTTATGTTTGTGAGTGCGAAGTGAGCGTTGTGGAAGCCTGAAACGATATCTTACTTGTGTTCAGATCGCTTCACGGAAGTTAAAGAATCAAAACTACTTACTGGTTGTAGTAAAATATGTATATGATTGATGACTATAAAAAATGTCCATGACACAACTTGTAACATAACGATTTCTTCCTCAGAAGCGAGGTTGTTGTCGAAGTAACAATAATACTGTAAGTACACCCACCTCGATTCCACGAGAGAAATTGTTATGTTATAAGCTATGTCATGCAAAATCCTAATGGCCATCAATCAAATACATATTTTACTACCAGTAGAAAGTAGTTTGGATTTTATAACTCAGTGAAAACAAACCTAAATAGCATTTATCCTCAGACTGGCGGATGTTCGCGACAGGGCGCCACCATTTTTGAAAATCGTAAAGTCACGGGCTACAATCTGTTAGAATTAATGAGGTTATGGTTTGTTTTCATCAAGTTAGAACATCAAAACTACTTTCTACTCGTAGTTAAATATGTATTTGAATCATGACCAAAAGGATTTTGCATGACACAACTTATAACGATTTCTTCCATGGAAGCGAGGTGGGGGTCGAAGTGACAATACTGCGCGATAAATTTCTTGCTACATTCACGTGGTTAACGTCCACTCACCAGTATGTAGATACTAGTCAATGTGCGTCTTTATATTTGGTCTTATAATCCTAATTAGTTTATTATCATACTTGTATGCATTTTGAAACTAAATAAAAAGCAGACGATCTGCTGATACTTATAGTGAATTTATAACAGAACTGTAATATCTAGACATTTTATAGTTTGCCAATATGAATCATAATTCGCACACACACCCTAGTGTATGTTGTCTGTCTCATTACACTTCACAGCGAAAACAATGATTCTGTTGAATGCTACGACAAATGAATAAAAACAAAATTCAAATATTAAAATTAAAACAGATTAAAGTTATAGGAACAATGTCAGGCTATTACCTTCTTCGAGGAATGTATCCATCAATATCCACAAAAACGAGTGATATGCCATTCATCAGCAGCTGTTCCAAGTGATGTGTGTTTTAACAGTCTAATATACGAAAAAGTGACATATCGTTTCAGGTATTTCAAATTGGTGTATAGTCTCATTGGTCACCCTAGATAGCACACCTGGCAACTAATTGCATAATGTCCGCCTTTCTTTAAAAAAAGTAATTTAGTTAGCCAATAATGAGCAATCAATCAATGTATTGGTGGTTAATCCTTTGAAAGAAGGACGTTGTTTGTTTGCAGACACAGACACGACAGAGTGTATTCAGTATAGATTAGTAAATCTACATTAATAAACACTGCCTTTTGACAAATATGCTGTGTAAAATAAAAGTAATTAATCAATCAGCGTGTTATCGGTTAATCCTTTGATCGATGTTTATAATGTTGAGTATTTACTCCAGACACAAGAAATGCCAAATGGGAACCTTTGTCGTGTAATCTAAGTGGTGTTACCACTAATTATACCTGTTATAAATTATTAACTGACCATCAAGTGAATGATGACAAATAACGTGTAGGTTAATATCACCTAACACGGGTTACAACAAGGGAGTATTACTTGCTGTATTAGAAGTTTATGGATTCAAATAAATCAAATGTGAGTTTTTAATATCATATGTAATAGACGTGATATTTTTACAAGACATGATTGAATATCGAGGTAAAAAAACACAGAAATGGGATCAATTTGGATCAGTCATTATACCATCCAGGCATTAGAAAACCTGAAAAAGCCCACACTGCTTTGATACTTTATTACAATCAGACAAGAACTACCGGGGATATTTACAAATAACTGCATCTGATGGGCATCCACCCTTCTTAATGTTGCACTGTTTAGGTTGAAGAAATTAACCATTAACCTCGCGATGAGCGAGGCTGATCATCGTTTTCGCTATCACTAGCGTCTGGCTCGAACAAATCAGGCCTAGTAACAACAAGCGATTTTGACAGAATCATCAATGAAAACAAGTTGTAAATCGGAAACTAGACAAAGCAAGAGACAAAATTAAATGACAGTAGATTGTGAGAACATATAGCTTTCATTTTTCACAACAGTTGTCACGATTTCAGGTTTATACAAACCTGTAAACAAGATAATTTACCCCCTGAAATGTACATGAACTCTGCATCGGCCCTCATATCTATTCCTCACATGACGTCACAGAGGCGGCTCTGATTGGTTGAAATTTCATTCGCGGGTGAGAATTGTGCACTGTTGTCAAAAAGGTCAATTTAAGTTAATTAAAGATCGAAATGAGTAGTTTTAATGATGGGGTTTCATTTGTAACGATGCCAATTACTTAGTGATTTATGTATTTGTACCCCCCTAGAGTATATGTGACCTTTAAAGTTTCAGACCTGTCAATTTGTCTGTATGATTTCCCCCAAAATCTGAGTCGCACTGCCAACAAACCTTCGCGGCTGCGACCACTATCTTTGTTACACTGCCAAGCTCGGCTGTAACGGTGGCTTAGCTGATTCGCTAAGTACTGTGAGAATGCGGAGCCAGCAAAGGGAGGTAATAAAATTATCGGGGCGAGCCATAGATGCATCCAGGGTACTTGTGGAGATTTATCGGAACATATACCCTGGAGATTATCGAGGATGTACATGCTGTTGCTACATCACTTATAAACATTTCCTATATCATCAGTAGTTGTCAACTACATTTGTCAACTACATACAAAACAATCAATTGTTGCTTACACTTTAAAACATTCCAACTTGCATTAAGTTACATAATCATCAATCTGACATCTCTCCCTGTAGTTATTATAACAACTTACACTTCTTACTGACAACTAAAACAAATGTTAAAGAAGTAATTCTCATACTCTGTGGGGCCAATGACCTTCCTCACAAGATTTCCGTCTTCTTCATACTCAAAGTCCTGCAAAAGATGAATATTGGATGAAACCAGTCCAAGAGAATGGTGGTGAATGAGTCCTTGTGTTAATAGGGATGTACAGACACAACTATCTCCTGATACCTTATGTATCATGGGACTCACAATTCATTACATGTAATGATATCTGTTTGGAGGTAATTTTTATATTTCATCATGTTCATAGGACACAAACACAAGATGTCTGAATATCAGGTGTCATATTTGGAAATGTATGTCACATTCAGTCAGTACTATATTTCAGATATAACCATGATAACTGGACTGTTAACATAATTATAATGCATCATTGACATTCCTCTGAAGTTTGATAAATCATATATGAATGGATTGACATAAAATATGAATCAATACAGGTTTGTGTCTCAATACACCTCAGAAATATATTAAATAGCTGATGTATTGGTGAATCGTGACACCCCTAGTAACAGTATCATGTAGAGAAATCAATTCCAGCATAGTTACAGGTCATGAAGTTGCAGGTAGGCATTCATACAATCAAATCACTTAATTTGCATCAAGGGTCAGTATGTCAATGGTTGTGTGTTTAAATCATGCATGTGTGACGTCACACCCTTAGCTCATGCCTGGTCCGAAAAATTAGAGCTCCGCACACTGAAGCTAACAATGCAAGCAGTGCTTGCATGGAGACTAGGACCTCACATCATCACACATGCTTCTACCATGTTATACAGCATGTATTCCCTGAGTGGCCAGTCTCTAGATTACACAGTCGTTAATTGCGGAGTCCACTCCGGGACAGACTCCGGAGCTCGGAACTTATCATAGTGTTTGGTATAGCAGAACATTTGAAAAGACTTTGTAGAAGTGAAACTGTGCCAATTGATGGTACCTTCAATGTGTGTCCCAAAGTGTTTTTCCAGCTGTACATCATTCATTCGCACATGTTTAATGAACTCTTTTGACTACTGACAGACAAGAAAGGAACAACAGGGATTTACCTGGAGTGCTGTATTTGAGGGTCCCTGGGACTCATACTCTTAATTTTCAGGGGTCCTGGACTACAAAATGGGGGTCCCACTCCCAGACACTTAAATATGAATAATTATTATTAATACTGTTATTGTATTTTGTATCATGATCATCATATTGTTACAGTAATTAAATTGCAAATGATGCCATAACCCAGCTAGTAGCAAACTCAGTAATAACTTATTGCTACTTGATTGGAATTTTTACAAAAAGTATTTGGACTTTTTCTGTGTCCCTGGTGGATGCACTAATATATTTTGTTGCATCCATCGTCAATTTTTATGAGTATAGGATGCAGGAATTCGCATCCTGTAAATCCCTGAACAACATATCACAGAACTGATTCATCTTTTAATGGTTAAGTGTGACAAACTACAACTATCCTTTTCACCAACAACACTCATAGTGGACTTTGAATTATCTGTACACATATGAATATGCTGCATGATTGAAGATCGCTCCGGGCATATTAAATTGGTTGTATAGGTCTGTGGCCACTCAGGGACAACTCAATCAGGTCGGTAGCCGCTCTGGGAAGCCTGATTAACAACCAATTAACAGGTGTGAAAACTTGGTGGCCACTCTGGGCATAAATTATTATACAGTAACCTACCACCACTTTCTCCCTGATGAGTTGATCAGCATCTTCTGATTCCACGGCACATGCTAGAGGGGCTACAACATAAACATGCAGCACCTGTCACATTAGCATTGAGGATTACACTTTGTTAAGTAAAGTCATTGATTATATCAGCAGCTTCATACAATTGACCATACTTTGAATCATGTCAACTATGATATTTTCAGCATTTATGAAAATATCGGGCACTATAAGTGCTATCGATATTAAACAATAATAATAATAATAACAATAATTATAATAATAATCATCTTCTATAGCGCACAGTCTCCAAACACCAAGTGATTGCTCGCGGTGCTTAATCAGAATCTGATTCTTATTACCCTGGATAACCCAAGCTGCCTGTTAGGCGCTAGAAGGTTATAGTCACATGACTTTATCCAACCGGGTACCCATTTTCTGTTGGTCAAACAGAGGCAATTTGAACAAACTCACTTGCCTAAGGTGAGACCACATGCATCACATGTGGCAGGACTGAAGTCCTAGAAACTCTCAGGAGTCAAGCTGCCAAACAGGGTCACCCATCCAATTAGTTCATATGAATAAACTCGTATTCCAGCAAAGGCCTACATAGAGCACACCTAGGTATAGTGCAAAGTTGTCTAGTTATATGCTGGACTACCATCCAATACAAGTGCATATTGATTCATTTTTCTCATATTCACCTTTCAAGCATATTTAGAACTGTCCTTTGCATTATAGGAGTTATTATCAAGCTTAGTCACTTAGTGTTTGCTTAGATGTATAGTACTCGACCTGTTAACTCCGTCAGGACTTTCTGATCCAGTGACTGAAATGATGAATCTAATTTCAAGGGCTGGCGACATCGTTGACACACGAAGCTAACGTGAGTCGTTCCAGCTTTTCCTGCCTCGGGCCTTGGCGTAGCCATTTAAACACAGATCGTTCATGGAGCAAAACAAAATGTAATACAATCCATATGAGGAAATTGTCTGGATGATCAATCCTCTGAACCCGTCCCCTTGACCAGAAGAAACACAAGTTTTGGTTGTCGCAAACGTAAACACCCAATCGCCTTTTCTAAATCTAAAACTGGATATATATCCACTGATGTTATTGGCAATGGTAGCACATTTGACTTTTTATTTATTGTGAATATCTTTAGATAATTACAAACATAGGATTTGAGATCCCGCATTTTTGCGACAATCCATATTCAAGTTTACAGAGCAACCGGGCCATGCTTCCGCCTTTGACAGTGCTGTGCAGACGTGTGTACCCAGTCATCAGAGGTAAAATATGTTGTGAGATAAATACCAGCTTCTAACACCTATCTAGGTGAACGCTTCATGTTCACGTTTTGTTAAAAAAGTGTCGTTCCGTTATAAGCAATTTATTGAAAAAAGACACTTTTATTTTAGTGTAGCCAAAATATTCCGTAGTGGTTCCTCCGTAGTTTTTTTATACACCGTACATTGTCATTATATTTGAGAACATCATTGTCCAAATTGGGAACTGATCAGCTGTCTGAACATTCATAATTTATGGCTAGTGGGGGGTGATGATGATTTAAAACATGTAAAAGGGGGGCATTCACATTGTATATGCTTCTCCTCTGCTTTGAAAAAATCATCATTTCAGCAGCTGTAGGCGTTATGTGGGGAGTCCCACATTCACACGCTCGATATATAGAGAGTGACATCCTGTGAACCACTGACTGTGTATCATAAGAATCTACGAACAGTAACAAATGATCCTGATGCCATTTGGGCACACAAGTCCAATTCCATAATTTACAAGTTCACACCGAGGAGAGTGGAATTAGCTGAGAGGGTGGGAACTAAAAACATCTGTAGATGTCAGACGTCAAATTCACAGCTTATTTTGCATGCTCTGCAATAATTCATCTGGTGACTTTGCGACAGAAAGGTGTTGTACTGAACACTGTGAGAATAATATGATCATACTAAGGAACAAGGAAGACATAAGCATGGCTGGTAACACCCTAAATTGGCTTTTCAATATTTACTGAAGAAATGTAACAGGGGAAAGTGGCTTAAGTGAAAGTTCAAGGGCAGTTTACAGTCACCAATATTTTCAACACTGAACCAAAAAAACATGATAAATACAACAGAGGGGCACGGTGGGCCAGCTGGCTAAGGCGCCAGGCTAGTGATCCAACGAGGCTTGAGGTGTCGGGATCGAGCCCACCTGTGACCGGGTGTTAAAAGCTTGGAGTCAACTTTGTGTGCAGACTCTTTCAGTGTTGTCACAACCCCTAGTGTACAGTACACAACCCTGTGCACTTAAGAGAACCCACAAATCCTTTGGTATATGACCAGATGGTGGCCACATGAATACGTGCAAACACCTAGTTGCAGGTACAGCAACGTGCAGTGAACTTTGTCAATATATTGTGACTATGTGTCACAGTCCACCCAGCTGTGAATGGGTGGTACCTTGTTAGGATGAGAAAGCCACAATAACTCGGTGTGCCTAGTTGCTGCAAGAGTGGTATACTCCCCAGGGAGTTCAGATTGATAATACAATGTGCTGTTGAGCTTGACATCCAATGATCGAGGAAAAATACCAGCGCCTTGAGCATGCACTAGTTGCCTGGATATGTATGCTATATAAATATCCTTTATTAATATTATTAACAGAGAAATTAAACATGTTAAAAGCAACACCCAACAAAACGTTCGGCATGCATGCTTTAAAATACACAGGAATTGGGACATCCCCTTTCAAGTCCCAGCACGTCTTTCTCAGCATTTTATTTCAAATCAGAGCCAAAGAACTAACTGATTCATTGCATGGTAGAGATGTGTCACACTATATGGTATGGTAGGTGTCCAGAAGTTGTTCAGACCTGCCTTGTTTGGGTGTGTGGAGCTTAAATTTAATATACTTAGTAAACTGCATTCCTGTGCATAATAATGCAAATTAGAAAAATACAATATATAATGTTTGTATATAAGTTCTCATTTATAATACATTAAGCCCAATACATTAAGTACAGAGTTTGACAAATACGTGTGGTTTTTTCCAGTTGTCACCCTGCAGGGAAGGTGACACGGAAACTTGTTAAAACGTCATTGACCAATGAAATTAAAGTATTTTACATGATGGTAAGATACCGTTATATGTTAAAACCAAAATATAATATATATTCAAAATAAAAGTACTTTCATAAACAGGTGCTTACTGTAAAATGTGATGTTGCAGGTTATAATTACCAAACAAACATCGAAAACTCTCAACATCGCTGGGATTATTCACTGACAATGTGTAGAGAGATGATACTATCATTGATGGATCGCCAGGGACTCACTTAATGACCCCATATACAGTCCAACACATTAAATGAAACACAGAGAACATATAGGTTTGGTCTAAGTTATATTCTCTATATTCACACCCTACTGAGTGTGACCAACTGGGTTGAACATATTTCCAAACTGTACCCATGTCATGATAAAGCCATTGTTCCAGGGTAAGTTTGTCACAGTGATTGCTGTTTGCATGTGTAATGAAGCCAGGTAGTGACCAAGACAGTTCACACATGTACACACATCTGTCAGCATTTAGGTGTATTTATCAATGAATGTGTGTGTTTCTGTCAGTGTGCAGGTATATGCATGTGTAAACATGGTATTGGTAAAGGTGCTTGTGCACAGGTGTGTTTACAATTTTCAGTGTACAGTAGTATTATGTATCTTTCAGTGGGCAGGTGTGTTTACTTATCATTGTACAGGTGTGTGCATCTCCAATGTAGTAGTGAGTGCATCTCTGTTAGAGTACAGGTGTATTTACTCAGGTGTGTGTATTTCTCAGTGTAATAATAATAATAATAATAGTGGGTATTTGTAACTGTGCCTATATCCGTGCATTCAATGCTCGCTCAAGGCGCTACAAAAGGAGTAAGTCTATGTACGATGTTGACACGAGATTACAAATAGTTGTAGTTAAAAGGGAAGAAAAGATCTAAGAGAAGGCTCTGGAGAAGTAATAGGTTTTTAGAAGGGACTTGAAAGAGTTCAGTGATTTGGCACATTTGATGTCAACTGGCAGTGAATTCCAAAGCAATGCTGCAGTGTACGCAAAGGTCCTCTGACCATAGGAGACAAGTCTGACTTTAGGGACTGTAAGTAAGTGCTGATTTACAGATCTTAGACATCTTGCACGGGTGTACAGTGTAAGGAGTTCAGACAGATACTCTGGAGCCTGAAAGACATTTATACACATGGCACAGGTGTAAATTTAAAAAAGCTGCACTGTATCAATAACTCATGGATATGAGGTTATATTGAAGGCAGAAGATGACCTTGAATGGTTGAACACAACCAAGCCAGCTGTCGTTCATTTCTGATGATTGTCAGTTTGTAACAGGATCATGTTGTCAACCGAGTGGAAAGTTACCGAACTGTCATGTCATGTCTTCATGGAATTTGTCCACGTGTGGCACTGTCTTCATCAGCTGATGGACATCAGAAAATACAACTATGTTCTTAAATGATTTATATACCTTGTTAATTTTGATAAATGATTGATACACATACTTAATTTACACATATTTATGTGTCTCTCGTTCATTAACAAGTTTCTCTGTAATCAATCTGTCAATATTTTTCAGTGGTATAAGTTGCTTTCTGTTGTGATGTTTGTATGTACAGTTAGTGAGTCTGCCCAGGAAATGTGTACGTCCTTGTGGCTACTCAGTGAGTCTCTAGTGTCAGGTTGATTTTTCTCATATTATTTTTGTTTCTATTTCATTGACGTAATTCAGTATTGTACATTGATGTGCGGGCATATAATATAAGAAAATGTGAAAACTGTTTAGAAGTGCAAAGAAACCAAAACTTCTCGGAGATATGGCATGGATAATATGAAGATGGATTGATACTTTAAAGGCTTTGTGTCACATGAAGTTTCAGAGATCATCTCATATAGCATATAGTTTTAGACTGATCACTGTATCTTCTTCTGATGTTTCAACTAGCACTCTAGATAACACTTTGTCTGGTGGTCCCAAAGATGACACATATCCAATTCAAGTGGAGGCTGCCCACTGCATGGTTATGGCTGACCCACATGTTTCAACTGAGCATATCTTGACACTGTTAGACTCAGCTTTAGTTCAGTCCAGCCCATCCTAATGGGCAAATTCCACCTTAGCAGACAATCCACAAGATATGCTCCGGTAGCCAGATTGTTGGCACAGTCAGACACATACCCAATGAAACATATAAAGGGACCTCCAAGAATGTTTAACCAGTTACCAGAAGAATCCTTGAACTTTCTGAATTGTAAACATGAGAACCAGATCCATCATGTTGACCTACAGGTGAAGCAAGCCACAGATGTGTTTAACCTCATCTGTATGGCATCAGTTGGCCAAGTCAATCAATGTTCGTGCATGTGTTCTGCAATGAGCATGATGAGGTCAGTCTATCAAAAGCAATATTCACTACAGCTGTCTTGGTATATCAAGGAAACACTGTGGAAACTTCTATTCAGGTGGTCTACTGCTTCAGGACAGTGGGCCTCTGCACAAGTGGCAGTAGCTGCAGCAGCTGATTGTGGCTTTACTCATTTGAAAACCTTTGGATGTCAACCATTCTCTAACGTATCAGCACAACTCTGGAACGCTCTTCCAATTGAGATGAAGACTTTACCATTCAAACATCAGCTCAAGACGTTCTTATTCTACTAGCATTTTATGTTCCACCTATGCTACTCTGACATGTAGTTTTCACTCTCCCTGTTGTGCTCCGAGCATACTTGTGTATGGAATTAAACGCTGTATAAGCAACATTATTAGTATTATTATTACTGACTGCGGCATTATAGGGTTGTAACGATTCACTTGTGTATCCGGTGCATCAAACCATAGCCCTTCCTGAAATCAGTTCATTATTGATCACTGGAATTGAATATTTACCAAGACCAAGTGTAATATATTCAGGGGATTATATTAAAATCATAGAACTGTACTTTGATGTCCAACATTCAGAAACATATCCCATTTAA